GGCTGGGTCGAGAGAGGAATATAAGGTGGGAGGAGACAGGAGCATGGCCTCTTTTCATTCTGGAGATTTTGTAGAGGTAAGAACTCTCTAGTGGCTAGCTGCTGTGCTTCTCTAAGCTTTCATCTTTTACCCTCTAATATCTGACTTTGGGTTTTTATTATTAAGACCATTTAGAACTTTGTGCTATATAGCTCCAAGGGATCTATCTCTCTATTATGGCCTCTGTGGTCACTGAACACACATGGAAAAAAATGAATCTGAAAATATTTGTGGTGCCAGCTGAAGAAAAGATCTGGAAGCTTCAAGTCAAGATTATCTGTCTTCTGAAGTTCCTTGTGTCTTCCAACTCTCACATATATGAGCACTAAAACCTTTGTAAGAATGTTGGTTGTTGAAATGATTCGGAATGATGTGATCCATTGTCATCAAATTAACATTGTTCTAGACTTAACCAGTGGAATGTAATCAAGCACAGAGATTAGTTTTTCACCTCCTTTGTGCTATCTTGTTTAGGACAGAGTTGGGCATCTGGATCAAGGTACTGTTTATGCGCATGCTAAACTGTTAGTTCAGTGGGGTTTATTTTCAACTCAAGAAGTTATGAGTGAATACTAACATGGCCTTTCTGGAAGCTGTTATGTTGGAATAAACTTTATATCCTAAGTTGTCCTTCACTTGTCAGATATATTGGTTAGGTACCATGCAGAGTAAGTGGGGGGTATTTTTCAAAATTAACAAAATACCATTTTTCAAACAGCAATTTATTTCATGTGTATGAGCGTTTTGACTGCATGGTATGTATGTGCACCAGTGCATGCCTGGTACCTCAAGAAGCCAGAAAAGGGTGTTAAATCCTTTGAAACTAGAGTCCTATATGGGCACGGGGTACTGAACAAGGGAAATTATATGCTAGTGTGACAGAGCAAAATAAGTAACATGGACATTGGTTCTACTAATGGAACCCAATGGAATATTGTTCTACTCAGACTGGGTATTGAGAAGAATTAAATGTTGGAAAATATCTGGGAGAGGGACAGATTGAGGGGAGGGGCATTCATGTCCCTTGGATGAGATGTGATAATATACAATATTTTGAGAAAGCCTGGTGAGTCCTAGACACTTTCTATACTACAAAGTACAAAAGCAGGAAAAGGTAAAAATATATTTACTGTATATAAACTGTAGGTAATGGAAGAAATTTAAGACAGTTTTTAAAATCACGAGAAACACTGATTCTTATATAGTATAGTCAACATATTTATATCTGCAATTGAGGCTGATAGGTCCCTCTGGTTCTTGAATGGGGAACTTGCTTGAAAGAATAATGGTGGAGAAGCTAGGAGCCAGACTATATTATTAGCACATAAGAATCTCAGCCAGGAGGATTGCTGTGAACTGATGACAGCCTGGGCTATATAGTGATTACAGGGCTACCCCGGGCTCAACAAAGCCAAAGCAACCAAACGCAAAAAGAGACATGAATAAATGAAGCAGGTCACCGTTTTCTCTAGGAGAGTATAAAAAGTGAACATGGCATAGAACACCAGGCAGCAACTCTTAAGAGAGGCAGCAGTGTCTCAGCATCTTCAGCATGTGAGGACCGAGCTTCAACTCTGTAAATTATCCATGAGCCTTCTGCTTTACACAAGCTCAGCTGGTCCACTGAGGCAGCCACTAGACACACCAGGCTGCTTCTCGCTCTCATCCTGGAAAGTTCAGTATCACCACTCTCACTGCTTTTTCCAGTGGAAGGGTCCTTCCTCTCTCGTCTGTCTGGAAAATTCTAGTATGCTTTCAATTTTGTACTATCTTATTCAAGAAACTTTTCACCCATCCCTCCCCCAACTTCTTTCTTCTTGGACCCTCAGGGCTGCCTGCAAACACTTCTGTTGACAGTTACTTCCTGCTGAGTCCTTACTCTATTGGTCAAGTCCAATAATTGTCTCAGTTGGCAAAGTGCAGTACCACTGTAATATACCCCAGGTTATTAATGGAGAAACTAGCAAACGTGCCCAACATCTAATGCTTGGAGACTTGAGGTCATCCTTGTATTTCTGTGCTTTTCCTAATGTCCAGTTGTTTAATTTCTTTCTCACATTTTACACCATCGACTGAATACAACTTCTATGTTTCTGTGATGGCTGTTAAGTAAATACCAGGTGTTCAAAAGCTGTTTTTATTTTTGAGGAAAGATCTCATTTTGTAGCTCAGGCTGGCCTTAAAGTTCCAAATCAGTGTTTATCAGTTTCCTAAGCAGTGTTATTTACTTAAGAGACACCATTCTACATGTGGTCACTACAAAGATAAATATGATCGATGTCTTATCACTGAAAAGTTAAATAAAGATTTCTAAAGCTTATGGAATAATGGGGATCTAAATTTGGATGTATATAACCGAGGAACAGGACAGAGGGTGGAGCCGACTATGGCAGAAAATGCCCACATTAGCATAAATTCCCTGAAGGCTTCATAGAGCTGGCATCATTTGACTTGAGAGATGGGGTTTTGGAAAAATTTGGAGTAGCTACAACAAAGTTGCAGAAGTATGAAAACTCCTGGCATGTTCAGGGGAATGGGTGGCTTAACATGACCATAGAATAAGGTGTAAGGTTTAATGTAGCAGGAAGGGCAACATGGGGCCAGGCTGGGATCGAGAGAGCAATATATGACCTGCCTAGGATATTGGGCTTTCTTGTGCAAGGTGTTGTTCCAGATTTTTATGCTGAAGCCCATGTGTCTGAGTGTGTGTATGTGTGTGCGTGTGTGTGTGTGTGCGTGTGTGTGTTTGTGTGTTTGTGTGTGTGTGTGTGTGTGTGTGTGTGTGTGTGTGTACAAGAGGGAAAAGCTAAAGCATGTTCCATGGGGTAGATATAGACTGGCAATGAAGGAGGGACCAATTCCAGAAATGTTAGACTCATAAAGCCTGGTTTCTGGGAGGGGCAGAGTCAGCAGGCATCTTCGTCTGAGCAGACACAGCAAACTTCCATATAGACTCAGTAGTTCATGATCTGTGAGTCTGGGAGCTCACAGTGCAGCATGGCGGGCTCTGGTGAGCCACCTCTCCTGGGGGATGCTCTGCTTCCTTGTATTGAGTCTTCACATGATGAAAAGGTGAGATAGCTCTCTGGGTCTCTGAGGTGTGGACACTAACCTCATCCTCACGACCTTAATACCACCAAAGTCCCTGCCCACTGCCAAGTATGATCACACCAAAGGTTAAGTTTCCATTCATGAGATTTGAGGGGACACAAATGTTCACTCTACTGGGCATAGCTTCTGGCTTCTGACTTGGTGGAATAAGTTACTTTTCACTTTTCTAGATTTAGGAGAAACGGCAGGCATGGATACGGGGGGGGGGGGCGGGAAGACCATGCACGGTGTGCTTCCTGCTGTGAAACACGAGCTTTTCTGTTAATGATGATCTGCAGTCATTTCTAGGTTGTCATTGGCTGTGTGGCCTTGGGAGCATTGTTAAAGAAGTCAAGTCTAACTGGGAGATTCCAATTGAACTTTGCAGGAATAGCTAGAGTAATCAAGTTACTTAGTGAATTGTTGAACAACTGAGGAGGCATCGGGGTTAATGCTGTGCATTTATTAGATTCTAACACTAGTTAGTGCATGTCCACAATCTAATTTCCCAAGCTATCATGGTACATTAATATTTAGAGAAATTCAATTCCGGAGTGGCACTCTCAGAAAACACTAATTAGCCATTTTCACACCATAAATTCACTATCTATATTAATATTGGTGTATCTAAAGAAGTCAGCATCATCTCCAGAGGAGTGGTCAGTGGATCATCTCTCTCTCTCTCTCTCTCTCTCTCTCTCTCTCTCTCTCTCTCTCTCTCTCTCTCTCTCTCTCTCTCTCTCGTGTGTGTGTGTGTGTGTGTGTGTGTGTGTGTTAAGGTGCACATGGAGGCTAGAGGACACCTCTGACTCCTGCTGTCACTTTTTTATTTCTGAGCAAGGGTCTCTCCCACTGATCCAGAATTCCCCCAGTAGATTGGGCTGACAGGCCAGTGAGCTCCAGGGACCTACCTGTCTCCATGTCCCCAGTGCTGGATGAGAAGTGTATTTTTTCTAAATACATGGGCTCTGGGGTTAGAACTGCAGTCCTCATAATTGTGAGGTAAATAATTTGCAAACTGAGCTATCCCCATAGCCTTGATCTATGGTTTAAAAATAGTGTTAGTTTGTTGGACAGCATGAAACTCTAAATATGACACATGTCCTCAGTTGAAGACATTCTGATGGAGAAACCACAGAGATTTGCCAAGAACAACAAGAAATTGGAAAATCTCATTCTTAAATATTTTGTTGCCTTTTTGCTGGGAAACCATAACAGACAAGGTAAAAAAGAAACAGGACTATGTTTTATACATCTCTACCCAACCAAGCCAACATTTAACATAAGCCAAAATATAGGAATTTGTCCTGAAAGTCTCTGAGTCAGGGGAGACCAGGTAGTAGATTCCTCATCAAGCATGCAGTGGCCAGATAGCGCTTGATTGGAGATAGACCCATTTTAATTGGAACAGGCCCCTGAGGAAAAAAGACAGACGTCAGCAAGCAGCTCTCTGGATAAACAGTGGCTGGGAGAACAGTGAAGCAATCGTGTTCTTATTTCATTAATTCTCCTTAAAAATAAACTTAGCCTGTATTCTCTGGAACCAAGAGTATCAACCCCATGCTTTCAAGGGAAGTGGATGTGTATGTTATGAATTCATTGTCTGGACGTCTGGAAAATGTCACTGAGCAGGGTAGACGTTTATCAATCTCTGCAGCCACAGGCAAGGAGCACAAGACCAGCCATGCTAGAAGCAAAAGTCTCCCCGGGAAGAGATCTGACATCAGCCGCTACGATCACTCACCTGCTGTGAGCAGAGCAGAAAGTTCAGGATAATGTGGGTCTTTCCCTATCTGCTGAACACAAGTAGAGCACGATGTTAATTGGACTGTATTATGGTGCTTTTATTTTTAACTGTTATTTATTCACAGGTATCTGCCCCTTGGCTGTCATCCCATGTACCCAGGCACAACGCCATCCATCACTGCTTGATCTCAAGTTTCAGGACACATAGCCCACTTCTGACAGGAAGCGTCAGACACTTTGAAGCTATATTCATGCGTTCACGTCAGAAATCTATGAATGGCTTACTAAGGAATGAGAATGGGGCCAGCGAGAAGAAGGCGAGGGCATTGGATGTGCAAGCTTGACCACCTGACCTTGAGCCCTGGCACCCAGAGGGGAGCTGACTCTCCGAGGTCATCCTCTGACCTCCACACATGCATTGCGATGTGTGTTCACTTGCGCTGTCCCCTATATGATGCGCATGCATGATTATAATACAATTCAAATAAAAAAGAAATGAAAAGAATTCATCATCTCCTTTTTGTTTCACTTGCCAAGGTTTCCCCGTCTTCTGGATCTGCATGACGCATGAGAATCTGACATGAAATCTGTAAGAATGGGTGGGGTGCATGTTTATGTTTTTAGGTTGAATTAGTTCATATAGTACTCTGTAATTAGATATTTTGAACTCTCTTAGACAGGACGCGTTAAATCATCGTTTGTTATTAAAAGTCAACAATCTGCCACTCCTAGCTGGTGAATTATACTTGTCTACTGGTTTATTTTAAAAGTTAGATTTATCTATTTTACTGTATGTGCTTTGCCTCCCTGTATGATTGTACACAGTATGAGTGCTGGTGCCTGTGGGTTGTCAGATCTCCTGGTACTAAGGTTACATGTGCTTGTGAGCCGCCCTGTGGATGCAGAGAGATGAACCTGAGTCCTCTGCAAGGGCAATGAGTACTCTTAAATGCTGATTCATCTCTCCAGCCCCTAGCTGAAGTTTTAAAACCAGGTGGTTCTGCTTGTAGAGTTAGGTTTTTAAATAGTATCTTACAATACTTTATTCAAAATAAGATCTGAGGTGATATGTGAGTTCTGATTGGGGAAGTAAAGTGACTTCATTCCCCGTGGCTAAGCATCCTTTTCAACACATACATTCTAGCTCATACTCCTCGTAAGCTGTTTTTCTTCCCAACAAAGAATCCAGCCAAAATATAAGCACCCAATAGCAGATGTCATAAGAATATCACTCTTGTATGAAAAAAGTATTCAAGAAACATTTCAATGGGGAAGAAACAAATTAAACTTGATTTTCCAACTTGACAAGTAAGAGAATGAGTTTGATAGTGTGTGGGACTGTGAAATAGTTGTGTATCTCTGATCCTAGATTCCCAAAAATCTTATTTTCTAGAACCAGGAATTAAAACTTATAAAGGCGTACAGTAAATTGTCTTGCTCTCTAGAGCAAGAAACATTATACAGTGCCAGAGGCAGAACCTAGGGCATCTACCTATCTACCTATCTATCTACCTATCTATCTATCTACCTACCTACCTACCTACCTATCTATCTATCTATCTATCTATCTATCTATCTATCTATCTATCTATCTATCTACCTACCTATCTATCTATCTGATAGCTAAACATTTTCCCACAGAGATGCTTTCTTGGAAATAATGAGTTAAATTGCAAATAGTCTTCTAAATATATGGATTGTGTAAGCATTAATATTTTACAACTGAAATCTTGTGGTTTCCTTAATGGAACACCTTGATTTTGAGCAAAGAAAAAGAAATCTCATTGCTTTGTATAAGAAACACCAAAGTAACTATTTGTCTGTTGAGGCTCTGCAGCGTATCTGGCACTGTACCTGAACGATCAAGATTATGCTGGGATCTTAGTGCACCTGTCTCAGGGTCAGGGGATGTTATTGCTTATGATCTAATAAAGCCACTGGAGATCAGTTGTCAAAACCAGCTGCACTAGTTAGCTACAGAAACTAGATAGCGGTGGTGCACACCTTTAATCCCAGGACTCAGGAGAAAGGCAGATGGATATCTTGAGTCCAAGATCACCCTGGGCTACTGAAGAGTGAATCAGAGTTCACACCATTAATCCCAGGATTTTAGAGGCATAAACGGTAGAGGCATTCAGTCTCAAGTCACCAGCCACATTGAGGAGAGCATAGCAGTCTGAGCGAATCTGAGGAGCAGTGAAGTTGGGAGCAGTTTGTGGATCGCCCCTTTGGTATGAACTGAGGTAGAGGTGAGAGCTGGTGGCTGGCTGCCTTGCTTTTCTGATCCTCAGCTTGAAGCTTCAACCCTGGTATCTATGTCCAGGTCTTTCATTTATCATGCTGCAGGATGGCAGTGTGTGAACAGACATGCTTTTGATCATCTTAGATTTAAACCATCAATTACTATCTTAAGGTCTTAATAATAATAGTGTAGCTAAATTTAATAATTTAAGGTCTTTGTGGCTGTCACAGGAAGGAGTTGAAGGGATGAGGTAGAATGGTACCCCCCCTTCTTCCAGCTGAGCTATTTGACTGCCGATGAGGCATGAGCCCTACAGAACGTCCTGGCCCTCAGAAGTGTACTTCCCATACTTTACCATCTCCACAGGCTACGTGCTGGCTCGTTCTCTTTCCGTCTCTGCCCTGGACTCTGTACAGCCAATGCAAACCTGTATTTCCTTTGCTTGTGATGTATATATTACCTAAAACATTTCCTTCCAAATGACCTCATCCCACAGCTGGTTGATTCCTTCAGGCCTGTGAGTCTCAGTTCAGGGAACTCCTCTGAGACACAGCCTCTGCTCTTTCTAGAAAGCTTTGTAGGTCCTGTAGGAACCGTCAGCATCCTCTTCTGTTCTCATCACCCAGGGTGTAACACTCTTGGTGTCTGTACTTCACTGCACCCCGCTCTTCTTAAGAAGAGGTCTACTTCAGTTTCCATACTATTCCATGGACATAACCAAGCATTGCTGCCTTACTAGTTGCTCAACAAAACCTGCCTGTAAGACCTAACATGTCCTATGAATGTCTTCTCCACAGTGTCACTAGAGTCACACGTGCTTCTTGTCTTTTCCCCAGACATGGACTTCAGAAAAAAACCTTCATTCAGTTTTTATTACTATTTGTCTCTACACCATGTCTAGCTGTTTCATCTGTCTGTTTTCATTTCTCTGCCAGTTCCTTTTCCCAAAGGCCAAACATGAGACACAGAAGGGATTAAAGAATAGAAGGTTCAGTTTGTGTTACAGATTTGGAGATGTGTTCCATCATTGCGGGGAAATCTTGGGAGTAGGAGTAGGGGTCAGCTGGTCACATTTCACCCACATAGCAAAGAGCTATAGAACGCTGGCATCGTCCTTACTGTTTCCTTTTAGCTCAGTCTGGGACCTCAGACTATAGGCTGGTACTGCCCACATTCAGGGTAGATCTTCCCACTCAGACATCCTCAGAAGTGTGTCTCTTCGGTGAATCTAACCACTCTGTCGTAATTGCCTTCTGATAACCTGCAAGGAGAACTCAGGATGAATTTTAACATCTAGTTTATAACTTCTGATATTTTGCTCTGGGTCTCCATTTAGTTTCCTTTCCTTCCTCGTGAATCCTTATATGCCCATACACATATTTGACACAAACTTACAGATCTACTTGTGGTTTCTTGTAATTTATGTGTTTCAAGCTTTTGTGCATGTGCGCAGACAGACAGACAGACAGACAGACACACACACACTCTCTCTCTCTCTCTCTCTCTCTCTCTCTCTCTCTCTCTCTCTCTCTTTCACCTAAATACCTTCCTTTCAATACAGTCTTGATTCATCTAAGTCCTTCCCTTCCCGTAGCATTGACTCTCTTGCCTGGAGTCTCCTCCATCCACATCACCTGCGTGTAGGAAAGGCCTATCCCATGTCTCTACTATCGTAACTTAGTCTCTTCCGAGCATAAGCTCCTTGAGGATACCATTTGCTGGGGCCTATGTTTGAGAGCATTGTCTAGAATGTAGCATGAACTCAGCTGCAAATGAAAGAGGGCGAAGGGAGAAAAAGCAAGTGGAAAGGGGAGAAGAAAGAATGGCGGCTGGGGAAGCAGTAGAAGTCCTGAGTGAACGGGGGTTGTTGACAAGGACTCCAGTGCCTCAGACGCACGTGAGTCGGCAAAGCCTTCCTGGAGTCAGGCTCAGGGAACTGGCCAACCCTTCCTGGAGTCCATGTGCAAGTATTGACAGAACGTACAGAAATCTTTCTCCTCCTGGATGTTTTCAGTCTGAGAATGCTCACCCACAGAGACTCCTGGTGGGGACCAACTATCCCGACTTTCAGGGCTGCATACAATGAATACCCCCAAGGTTCCCATTTGTTGCAAACAGTAGGTGCTGTTCCATCAAACACAGCTCACCCAGCTCCAGCTTTTCTGTGCTGAGTCCTTAGTCATGTTTCCAGGACCCAGCCATGTGTTATGTGGCAGCCAGGCTGGCCAAGCACTAATTTCCAGATGTTTAAAATAATTCCTAGTAAACTCTTCTGCCGAGTGTCTCAGGCACCGACCTGTCTCTGTCTGCAACACTGGAGAAAATAACAATTAGAATACAATCAAGAATTCACTTGGTCCTCACTAATGAGTAGGCTTTGTGGCTATTGCTATATTTACAGCACTGGGAGAAGGAATTCATAGAATTTCATGAGGTAAATAAAATAAGTCAGAGTATAAATAGCTGCTGATTATTATAAGTATGATTACAGAGCCAAGATGGCTTCATAGTTGATAAAACCTAGGACAAGATGAAAATCTGGATGACTTGGTTCAAAATTAGGTAAAATATCAAAAGAGCAACAGTAGTCCATGGGAACTAGCTTATGGCCATTCTATGTGTGGGACAGAATTCATCTGTAGAGGCTGGACAGCGTTAGAGCTGGTTCTGACTCTGCCTCTCCAAAATGCTAAAGTGTTCTTCATTAGAAGGCTAAGAATGTGGTTGGGTGTACATTTCAATCATCAAAAGCTTTATCTTTTGAATGGTTTACTATACATCTGTTTTTGTTGAACTAAAGGACCAGACTAACACTTTAGGTAAGGGTTGGGGTGCTATCTCATGAATGGTTGCTGTCAGTCTGCAGCTGTGCACTCTGCTGTCTGAGATGCCTTTATCCCAGCATCTTCTCCACTCAGTTGAGTTCTGTGATCTCTTGAAGCATTGTTCCTTTCCCTGTGGAGAAGACATCTTCTAGCTCTTTCCTCTGACTGGTGACAACCTTTGATGTCCCATAGAAAGCAACTCTGCTGCCAACAGCATGCATCAGCTTTTTTTCCTCATCTTACAAAAGATCAAACAGAATCTGGGAAGGTCATATGGTAAGGAAATCAATGTTTTCCAATAATATATGCTCCCAGATCCCTTTCCTGGTAATCCTGCTCTTATATGTACTGCTCTAACCTGGTCATGGTCATTTACTGTGTAGAGTGTTTAGCATTGGCCAGCCTTGCCATCTGCCTT